ATCTGGAATTGTCTGCTAAATCAACAGCAGCAGCAGCAAAAGCTGGTGCCCCAGGGGGAGCCAGTGGTCCTTGCTGCCAGGAGGGGAGGGTGCTGGCTGGCAGAGAGGTATGAAGAGCAGCAGACAAGATGGTGGCTGCCCCCTTGTCCCTCCTCCCCTGCCAGGGCCTCTGCCAATCAGCATCAAGAACGTTTTAGTTTTCAGACATTTTAAAACAGATTGTTGAGAAGTCAACTAAAGCTGCGAGTTTGTTGAATCAAAGGTATTGAATCTGAGCATCAACCACATGGGATTTCAGATTTCCTCAAAGATAAAGCAACAGTTTTTGCATTACAGGCTGAGAAGCTTTTGCACATTTTTTTCTAATAATCCATAGTGACCAGGAATGCTAAAGAGCAAATTATTACACAGATCACCATAATCCCATATCAAACATAAGTCAATCAAACCAATAAAGAACCAGCCAATCCTGCTAGATTAAAAATAAATAAATACATCTTCTACAGTTGGAACACCAAGAACTCAGATATTTTATATCATACAGTAATGAGTGATGAATAAACACGGAGCAATAAACAGAGTATCACACCAACGTCATAACAGGTTACAAATCCAAAGGTACTAAAACAACCTACAGGAAAGCAGGAAAAACAGCTGAACACAAATCAAAATGACTAAATCATTATTGTGGCGCACACAATCAGTTATTCCTCAGTTCCCTCTTATAGGTAAAACCCCAGCATGGAGATTACAGGAAGATATTTCTCAAAACGAAGGAGTAGCCTCAGTTATTAGAAGTCAGAAATATCCTACTTGTCAATTAAACTGTCTCCCCAAAAGGGATGATTTTATAAGAAAAAAAAAATGATAGATATAATGAGAGCCTAAGTAAACTCAGCAGATAAATTAAGAGGAAAAGGGGTGAAACCAAACAGAAAAAACCCCCACAATGCTTAATTCTTCAGCATTATCGGTAAATAATGTACATGTGTTTTTAATCTAGAGCTTCCCCAGATACCTGAAAAAACACACAGCACTAATTAGCGAGAGGTTGATTAAAGTGTTCCTTTACACAATCCAAAGGCAACATCTAAGCAAGAAAGATGTTTCTCCAACCTGGACCTTTCATATCAATCTTGATTAATAATGAATGTTTGAGTCCTTTGGCTGTTGTAAGAATGTTTCTTCTCATTCACCAATTAATATCTATTCCCTCTACATTTCTCTTAAATGCAGGAGGTAAGGAGGATTTCTAGTCTTTTAATTTTGGATTTCTCTCTCTCTTCTATTAGCATCAGTACCTGCCTGCCACTCAGATCCTTCTGAGGTAGCATCTCGCATTTAAATTGATGTGATTATTCTAAATTTCATTGCTACCCCTGGGGATCAGCCTAACAACCGTTCTGTCAGTGTCACTCTGCCACCACTTGAGCAAGCAGAGAGCAGCAGCACAGGAACTAGAGCTGTCTCTAGCCAGACTGGTTCACATCATCTTCTAACTTAAGGGTTAGAGCCTACCTTTAAATTTTGCACAAATATAACTTATCCTTCATAATTATACCAGTTTTGTACTTGCTACTAGTGAGAGGATTTTTCAAGCCTTGTTTATAGATTTCATTATTTCAAGTCAGGCAGAGAAAAATACGATGGTTTTGCTGCAGATAAATTACATTTTCCTTAAGTCTCACCTGAGTTCTGGTTTTCTGGACAGTCTTTTTTAAAGTGTTCCACTGATCCACAAAGCCTGCAGCAGCCTCCTATTAAAACAGAAACATCCAAAACTATTGTTTAACAACTGGAAAAAAAATATATCTCTGATCTAAGCTTTACACATACTGACTTACCTGCACAACAGGAAAGGCATACATTTAATGTTTTGGTTTTATATTAAGTTAAAGATACAGTACAAATTAAAACATTTCCTTTAAAACAAAAATCAGAGGCCTCCTAGACTTCCAGGTAAGATGAAATAATTTGTTGCAGTATGAGATCTACTGTATGCATATGGACAAGTGATTTCCTCTACATCTCCACTCCCCAACTGTGAAACAGGGACAATGCCTTTGTAAAGCATTGAGATCTTAACTACAGATAAAGACTTATTACTCTGAAACTATCATTTGTGTAACATTTTCGTGGAAGTCTTCACACTTATTTGAAACTCTATAAATAGTTTCCTCCAGATCAAGCTCTGCTCGAAGATCCCAGCATTCACAACTACTTTTGGATTAATGGAAGCTGCATGTGGGCATTAAATTGCAATATTTGGCCTTTTGAGAAAGGCTATCAGAAATCCAGCCAGTTTTAAACAAAAAAGTGAAGTCATGTGATTCTGCCAATTTAAGGCTTTATAATCATACTTGTCTATTTTAATGTGAATGCTTCCCCCCACCATGATGTTTGCTGAAAGTCTTTCATAGAGTAAGAAGATAAACTCATGGGAAATACTAGAAAACTAATAGTTATCTGTAGAAAGGAAAAAGGTAGAGTAGATTGCTCTAATCCCTTTATAAGCTTAAAACTGAGCTGAAATTTAAGTGGAAGATGTTCCTTTCTTAGGATAAAGGCTTCACTAAGAATATGTTGCAATTCAACAAAATGCTTAGGCATTGCTTCCAGTTCAAATCACTTCATGCTTGTATGTTATACAATTTATAACACCACAAGATAAAAAAAAGAGGGTTCTTTTTTACTTTCATTCCTTTTTCATCTTCTGCAAGGTCAGCATATCACTATATAAAAAAAAGGACTGAAGCATAATGTTGCACTACATGGACTTATTTGGGTAACACTTACTAAATGCTTAAGTAATCTGTGTCCACCAAGCAGTGAGCCTACAATTGTCTAGGTAAAACAGCCACTACAGTGTAACTCTGCTTATATGCATAGCTGGAAACTGCTTCATTTGCCTTAGAGAATAACATCCCAGTTCCAACTTGCTACTTATATGTTACCTTGTGGGGGGGGGGGGGGTGTCAAACACATGGCCCACAGGCTGGATCCGCAGAGCCCTGCCATCTGGTCCCTGGTGCTGCCCCCCAGGTCTTAGACACACACGGGGCACAGCACATGCCCATGAGGCAAGGCCAGTACACAGGCCTGATCCCACCCACAGAACCCTTCCCCTTTCCCAACATACCTAATCTGAGAGCTACTCTGACTAGTCTGGGATCTGCACTGTGGTATGTATCCCAGAGTGGGCACTGTATGTGGCACAATCCCACTGGGGTGGGCTCTGCACCATGTGTGTTGCCATATCTGGCTACTCTGGAACACATACCACCTATGATGCCTCCTCCAGCCAGTCTGGGACCCATGCTGCACAAAGCAGCTACTGGCTCAGGTATGCTAAGGGAGGGGAAAGGGGAAGTAGGGCCCACAGACCCTCTCTATCTGGCATGCAGACTAGGATGTGATTGAGTTTGATACCCCTCGATTAAGGGGACAAATCACAAGTGCATAGTACCATTTAGCCCCACTGTTTATTTTTTAATTGAATTATATTCTAGTTAAGTTCAAAGAAATGAAGGAGTAGGAGTTATCCAAGTCAGAAGCATTAAAAGTGATGGGAGACAGATAACGGCTATGAAACTCTCCTGTCATTCTCAAGCCTTCTAAAAGCTCTCTCAAAACTGAGGATTAGAAGATACAAAATTCAATTTCTATACTCTGCTACTTACCTTGCTGATGTCAAGATCCTTGCAAATGAGGAAGCAATCCCTAGTTAGGAAAGCTAAACATGGGACACACTAAAGTTGCCACAGGCTTTATACACAGACATACACAATACAAATATTTATACTCACTACCTGATAGCCATTTCTTTGTTAATTTAAATTTAACTACAAGAAACTAAGACAAATATTCAATTTAAATAGTTATACTCACCTTCAGCATACAGTCCTTTAGGGTTATCTGGACACGATCTTGACAGATGTCCCATCTCACCACAAATAAAACATTTTGCAAATGGAAATTCCCCTGCAAAATTTGATTTGTTTTCTCATGATACATGCTACAGCCATCACAGTAAACATACAGATAAAACACTAGCTTATGCAATGAATGAGATTTACACAGAAGAAATCAATATTGCAGTAATCCAGAACCAGTTTAAAACAAGTAATGTGCGTCTTCACAACAACTGTTACTTTTTCTGACTAAAAAAAGAAAATATTATACTTCAATGAATGGAAACCCCTTACACAGCATTCCCTTTAAGAAAGAAACAGATATTAAAGCATACCAACAGCTGGGTCTATTTTTGCTTTACACTTGCTGATTTCATGCTCTGTAGATCCACACCGATAACAGATTCCAGTACCCATATCCTGATTTTCAAGTGCTGCTGGGCAATCTGCAATGCCATGGCCAGGCTTTCTACAGTGGAAACATACCTTTGAAAATAAAACATGAATTAGTAGACTGACCATAGAAATGCACATGTCTACAGACAAACTTGTTTACAGCCAAAAACTGAAGAACCCCTTTATTGTTAGTACCACCCAATTGTTATTTGTGTCTAATTTTATTTTTGCTAAATTCCTTTTTATATTAAAATTACTTTAAACTTATCTACTTATCTACTGTGGCATAAAGGTAACAGGACAGCAACAAGGTTTAAGAGTCTGGATCAAGAAAGCTGTGCTCAGGGAGAAATTAGAATTAGGGATCTCAGTAACTAAAACTCAATAACTGGTACTGAAAGAGACAGTACAAAATCACTGACTAATAAGGATTCTGTGGCTATAAAAAGATACTTATACTTCTTCCCAAGAGGAAAATGCCTGGAATATAAAAATAATCTCATTAGCGCAGTGAATCACAAAACCATCGTGAATACAGGCCTGTGACAATTGATCAAGCTGAATACTATAGTCACTACTGCTGCATCTACGATGACACAAGAACTTCATCATGGGCATCAGCACCTGAGCATTACAGAATGAATGCACCCTCCCTCGGAAAAGAAAACTGGTACATTTGGCAGGTGCAGGCAGAGAAGGAGCCTGGCACAAGCTGCAATGCAGTTCTGCAAGTTTTAAGACATGTCTACAGAAGTTTGTCCCTGGAACCACTACCACAACACACATCATTAAGACAGTAGTGATATGTTACCTGCATTCTACCTTAATCCTACAGTGTGCTTATTAGCAAAAGTCTGGGATGCCCTGATATCGGCAATGGGCTGAATCTATCCCCTTACCTTCTGGGCCAAATTCAGCACCAGTTTGTACAAATAGCTGCTACTAGATATCTAATTAGGAATTAGCTGGTGATCTCACTCGAACTGCTTGGCACCAGGCATCCACCTCTGAGAAACCTCCATGATAACTGACGCCTAGAGAGTGGCACCTGGGAGTGCCAAGTCAATCCTTCCCTGGCCCCAAAATTGCTGCAGTTTTATATGGCAAGCGAGGATCCCTGGCTCTTGGTAGTGATACCTGATGCCTCCTGCAGCTGCACTCCACTCCCTGCTTCCATTCTGGCACCTCCCTTTATTGAGTACCCAAGGCTCTTGTGCCACACACAGCAGCTGTCCATGCCACTTGTGGCACATGTGCCATGAGTTGTCCACCTGTGGCTTAGAGCATCCTTCAATGGGGAGCAAGATGTGGGAAAGCATTCTTGCCAGGAAAACCACAGGAGCAGCCACGCTTTAGGGCAAAGCATAGAATGAACCTGGATTGGCTTATACATCATTTATTTACAATGATCAGTTATTTAGAGTCATCAAGACAAGCCAAGTCTCTAAAAAGTAAGTAACACTGAATTTCAGATAGTGTCTAGTCCAATAATTCTCAGTCAGTGTGGCACTGTGGCACCCTGGGACACCATCAGATCCTTTGAAGAGTGCTGCAAGCTGTGAGAAAATAAGGCCAATGTGAGGAGGTTAGCAGATAAGCGTAGGCTCAGCCTTGTCCCTGCCTGGCCAATCTCTCACCCTGATCCCCAGCCCCCTTCAAGGAGCTAAAAACACTGTAGTATATAAATTATTTGAAACTGAGTACAGGAAAAACACTGTAGTATATACATTTTTTAAACTGAGTGCCACTCAATTTACAAAAGCTATAGAGCGCACCTCGAGTGCAGCGAGGGGTGCCTCGAGTTGAGAACCACTGGTCTCATCTATAGCAGGTGGGAATTCCACTTCCTTACGGCACACCTTGCTTCCAGTGAGCAGATACACCAATTCCTCCATCTACCAAGAATTTGGCTCTGTTTGTGACCACTTGAGTACACTACTCCTTTACACAATTACAGATCAAAGAATCACACGGACAAGAGTCATATACAATTTGATTATGTCATTTGAGTTTATACTAACTATTCAGTTTCAAAACAAACAAATTTTAGCTGTACTAGTACAACTTTCTCTAAACAAGGTCTAGATTTAAAATTGTGTATCAGTAGCATCACCAACCCCTGTAGACATCAACCCTTCCACTTCCTCAGATGATATCAAAGGCTCAATCCAAGTGAAACCCCTACCACTATATAGTAATGCAAGTGTGGGGTAACACGAAAAAAAAGGCAGGTTGCATTTATGTTAGTTTCCCCACCGTAAAAGGAAAACAAGATCATGGGATCATAAGAAAGGAGGGCTGGAAGGGACCTCACAAGGTCATCTAGACCAGCCCCCAGTCAAAGCTGGATCACCCCTAACTAAACCATCCCAGCTAAGTGTCTTATCTAACCAGCTCTCCAAAATTTTCAGGAATGGAGATTACACAGCTTCTCTAGGTAGCCTGTTCCAATGTTTGCCCAACCTCATACTCAGAAAGATCCTCCTAATCTCCAACCTAAATTTCCTCTGCTGAGGCTTGAGTTCATTGCTCCTAATCCTGTCTCCTACAGCCACAGAGGAAAGTCTATCTTCATCCTCTTCACAAATCACCCTTCAGGTATTTGAAGACTGTTATCAATTCTCCACACTGGAAGAACTAGGGTTATTTAGTCTCACAAGGCAAGCTTCCCAGGCGCCTTATCATTTTTGTTGCTCACCACTATATTTTTTCCAATCTGTCCACATCTTCCTTGAAGCATGGGGCCCCAAACTGGACATAATACTCCAGGCGAGGCCTCACAACTGCCGGAGATGGAAGTACTGTTACGTGAATTTAGTTCACATGGGCTCTAAAAAACTACAACATGCACACTGAAGAAAGAGACGATTGTGAGCTTTCTTAACGGAGAGATAAACCTGCCCTGGGATTTTCTGTGCCTTTTGTAGCAGTCGAGTGGTGGGCCGGGAAACGGCAGGTGGGTAGTTTCCCGCGATGGAGCAGAATTAGGCACAGAATCGTATCTATTAAACCAAGATTACTTTACTTACACTGTCAATGGACACAGCGTAGGCGAAGAGTTAACTTCAGTTACAGCTGCAAACCGAACGAGAGCTCTATAAACCGAGGTGAGATGTCCGTGGACAATTCAACAAGCATGCAGGACACAGGGTACAACAATTCAACGAGCATGCAGGACACAGGGTACGTCGGGAAAGTCGATGACGGGGAGTCGTTGGTGGTTGATCAGTCCGCCAAGTTCACTCCGAGATGGGCGCGAAGTTCTCCAACTTGGGCGGAAACTGCTAACTTTTATACGGCTAGCGAGCCAATTGCTAGTCGCCATGTAGGAATAATTTAGAACCAGCCAATAATGGTGTGCGTATTTGCATAAGGATGGCGGGAACTTTTCTGCATCGGGGTTCTCCACCGCAGTGGAAAATTCCACTGTGCCGAGGCACTTAACTACTGGGTTCTGACACCTTTCAAATGTCAAGTTTACTGACACACAAACTGCTGAAAACCAAAAGTTCATTGCCTTGTTGTCAAAGGTTCGAGCCTCACTGAACAGAATGGGAAAGACACAAGGCAGCTGCTCTCTTTGATGGTAAATTCCTATTTTTTTAAACAGGAAAAAAAAGTGTGTGTCATATAGGAGCATGTGACCCTTTAGGTAGCAGCAGGTACGTAGCCAACTTGTCACTGTTGAGAGGTTGTAAAAACATCCTACATCACTCTATTCCCCAGTAAATCTTAACAGACGAGTAAATCAATACTCAGAAGTGAACTGACACATCTGAGTTCACCCAACAGGCCAATAGCAGAGCCAGACACAAAACTTCAGGTTTCCTAAGAGCCAATTGACAGTTCTGTCACTTGAACCTATGTGGTCCATGCAATTTCCAAGTTCTCTTCTTGTCTTGTACTGATTCAAACAATGCAGTGGGCATAACTATCATGCACTGACACGTTTGGTATAGCAGCTCACAGAACAAGTGAGAAAAGTCACAGGTGGTCCTTGCTGTCTGACATACATTGCAGACAGCAGCTCACTGGACAGTTGAACGCTTCTTTTATGTAGCTGCAGCCATATACCAAACCATGGCCTGTTCTGTTCCCCTGCTCCCCACCTACAAGCACCTCCCAAGCCCTATCCCTATTTTTGCTTGGCCCCAGCAAGCAATCTTTTGGCCCACCCACTCCCCATTCAGGGACAGCAAATACTGTAACGTTGTATTTTTTTGTTTTCAGTACTTCAGGGCTTCTTGGGTCCCACCTAATATGGGCTACAACATGGGACTTTCATACCACTTTTCCCAGTGGGGCAGCATCTTTCTAGATCCTAGTATACAGCACAGGAGAGCATAATGTGGAGGGGACAACTCCGCTTCCTCATCCCCCAAATCCTGCCACCACCCAATCCCTGCACTGCCATTGAATCCCTACCCTCTCCTATCACCCATACCCATTTGTTAAACACTGAGTTTCAGAAAAGTGGACTTTCAAAACTCAGAGTACTGGAGGGCAGCATCTGATGGGAGGCAGGTCTAAGTGGAAAAGGAGTCTGGAAGAATTGGTAGTACAGCTACTCACTTAAAGTTGTAGTTACATTCTTGAAAAATGTGACTTTAAGCAAAACGATGTTAAGTGAATCCAGGTATGTCACAGTAGTTACCTACTAGCAGGCCGCGGCCAAACAACATTATAACTGAATATTACACAACTTTAAATGAGTATATTCTCCAATAGATCAGCAACATAATAACAAAACAATGTTAACCAGGACAACATTAAGTGAGGAGTACCTGTATTTTAAAGTGACAATAAGAAAAATAAAACTCCGGCATACATCAATCGATGCATTTCCCGTAAATCCAAAGAAGCGATTCTCCTGCTTTACTCAACATTGGTGCGGCCGCAGCTGGAGTATTGTGTCCAGTTCTGGGCGCCACACTTCAACAAGGATGTGCTAAAGCTCGAGAGGGTCCAGAGAAGGGTCACCCATATGATCAGGGACTTGCATGGCAAGCCATAAGAGGAGAGGTTGAGGGATCTCAGACTCTTCAGCCTAAAGAAAAGAAGGCTGAGAGGGGACGTGATTGCAGCTTACCGCTATATCATAGGCGTACATCAGGGGCTTGGTGAACAACTGTTCACCAGGGTGCCCTTGGGGAAAACTAGAAACAACGGCCACAAACTCCTGGAAGATAGTTTCAGGCTGAACATTAGGAAAAACTTCTTCACAACTAGGGTGTCCAGACTATGGAACAAGCTCCCCCCAGAGGTGGGGCAATCATCTACCCTAGAGGTAATCAAGAGAAGACTGGACGGTTACCTGGCTGAGGTCACCTGACCCCAGATGTCTTTCCCGCTCATGCAGGAGGCTGGACCCAATGATCCTTCAGGGTCCCTTCCAGCCCTATGATTCTATGAAAAGATGCACAGGAAGAAAAGACAGCCTAGAAATGCACCAGCTTGGCTAACAAGGAATTAGCTGAGAAAATTGCAGAGCTATTGGTTATTACATTTGAGAACTCGTGGACTGCCAGGTAACTAGAAATGGGCCAATATAGTTTTCATCTTCAAAAAAAGGGCGGGGCGGGGGGGGAAGATGAGAATGGAGTAGGATCCAGGGAATTAGAGTAACTCATCTAACTTCAATACCCAAAGAGACTCTCAAGCATATCATCAAGGAATCTATCCTCTGTATGACAAGGTGATGGGCTTTATGAACTGGGGGTTGGGGAGGGGGTGAACAGAGGTGGACAGAATAATGGATCTGGGGATATATTAACACAGGGGTGGCCAATCTGCAGCATGAGTGCCACAAGTGACATAGGGTTTAGGTTGTAGCTGTGTTGGTCTAAGGACATAGGCAGACAAGGTTCCTTGGGTGAATTTGATATCTTTTATTAGACCAACCCAAATAGTTGGAGAATAGTTATTAAGCAAACTTTCGGGTTCAAAAACCCTTCGTCAGGCTAAGGAAGTTCCAGCAGTTGGTGTGTGCTCTTCCTGAATGGAAGTGACATAGGCACATGCACAAGTGGCAGATCAGGGAGGAGACAGGCAGCATAGTTGCAGCTACAGCAGGGAGCAGGGAGCAGAAAGCAAAGCAGCAAATCCAGCAGGGAGCATAGAGTTGGGAATTCAACGATGAGCAGCAGATAGGGTAGGAGAAGGGGATCAGAGTGGCACTTGGGAAAGATGCGGGGCTAATTTGTGGCGCACAAGCCAAAAAGTTGCCCCCCACTATATTAATTGTCACCTGCAAGTCACAGGAAGTGATTCTTCCATTCTATTCAGCACCAGTAAGGTCTCATCTGGTGTAAGGGCCAGTTCCGAGTAACACACTTCAAGACAGACATGGACAAATTGGAAATATTCCAGAGAAGAGCAACAAGCGATTACTGGTCTAGAGAACACAACATACAAGGAAAGGCTGAAAGAACTGGGATTGCTAAGTCTGGAGAAGAAAGGACATGGGGTGGTGGGGGCAAAGGTGCGAGAGTGATGCTAACAGTCTTCAAGTATAAAAAAAGCTGTTACAAAAATAGGGATAACTATTTTCTGTGTCCACATGGGCTAAGACAAGTACTAATAGCCTTACCAGTAAATGCAACAAAGGAAATTAAATTGGCTATTCCCAAGAACTAAACACAGAAATAGATTACCAAGAGAGGATACAGAACCTTTATGGCTGAAGTTAAAAATAGGTTCAGCAAAAACTTGCCTGGGGTGGTTTAGACGAGGATGTTCCTGCCTTGACCAGGGGCCTACACTAGATGACCTCCTGGGGTCTCCTCCAGCCCTAATTTTCTGGGATTATTCCCTTATTTCTCTGACTTTAAGTCCCCCCATGCCCTTCCTGCAACCACTCGCAATTAGGATTTGTTTCTTTTCTGCAACAAGTCAGAAAGTGCTTGAATTATCTTCTGCACTTGGATCACATTTCTCCAAAAAACGTTCCCTCTAACAAGTACAATTTTAGTAACATGCATACATTCATACAAGTCTCATTCAGATGTCAGTCAAAAGTAGGACTGACATCTGCTAGGTGCAGGTAAGGTGCAATGACTACAGAAGGCCTCTTTCACTCCCAAGTGAATACCAGCCATGTAGCAACTCCCCTATCTATGCACGACACCTAGGCATGCACCAAGCTAAACTCTTTTTGAAGACATTTTGTCATTTTGCTTTTCCAAAAGGATAGCAGGTTTCATGAAGTCGGTTTCATATGCATCAACAACCAGGACCTTCTCGGACATGTTCAAAGCCCCAAGCCTCAGCAAGTCTGACAAAGTGTCAATCTTAAGACATGCTGTTTTTCACAGACTGCATCTCCAGAACGCTTTGCTCAAATGACCCCTAACTTACCCTACACTCACACATGACCCACCATATTGCAAGACAGTCCAAGTGAACATGTTAATTTGAGAGTACTTGAGAGAGGACCTTTAAACAGAAAGGGGTTCTCAATCCTCACTACAGCTGAAGTGGTGCTACTGTCTAGGGCAGCGGTTCTTCACCAGGTTGTGGCAAGATCCTCTTAAGGGTGCTGTGCAACATTAGCACTGTTAGGTGTGCCAACACCAACACAACGCACAAAACAGACCTAGAGGTTTCAAACAGGAATCCACAGCAGGGTTTGAATTACACTCCTATTCTTGGGAAGGGCGGGGTGGGATCTGCGGAGGTGGCAGCCAGAAGCCACCACCACCTAAGTTACTTAGACAGGCGCAGGGTGGGCTGGGGGCTCTTGCCTCTTATGGGGGGGGGTTCAGACCCCCCCCCAACCCTCCCTGTATTTCAAACCCTGATCCATAAGGCCAGAAACAGTCTGCCCTGTTGTGGTCTGGGTTCTCTGCAACAGAAGAATTGCCCTAGAGTAACAGAGATATGAGACCTAAGAGCTGGCTCTTTCTGACGGTACCTGGAAGCTAAAAGTGTTGAGAAGCCCTGCTCCAAGGACACTGCCACTATGTGGAAAGAACAGGGAGGAAGCAGGACCAGGGTCTCACCATGGCATGTTTCTTCTTCTCTTGCCTCTTCAACCGCCTCCCCTCCCGGCGCTGGTCTTTCTTCAAGGCCACTGCTACTTCTGCCCCCACCTCAGGGTCGTGGGCTGCCAAAACCAGCCGGCCCTGCACGCTCTGCCTCATGTGCTCCAGGAACCCATTGACGTCCTCGTTCACGTAGTCTTTCTTCTTCCTATTTTTCTTCTTCCCCCCTGGATCTCTCTGGAGGCAAAGTGGGCGGGAGCCATGGCCTGGCCCAGCCTTCGCGCTGCCCTTGGGGGCCCCATCCGCCATCTTCTCCCAGGGCGTCGCCTCCAGGACGCCCCGGCTGCAGGCTGCATGCTGGCGGGCCCAGCGTGTCATGGCTGCTCCTCAGGGACCCTGGCGGGGCTGTAAAACAGCACTGGGGGGTGGGGGTCAGACCCTTCACATGCTCCCGTACTTACATCTAGATGCATGTGCTGGGCCTCACAAGCAACACCCAACCCCAGAGCTGTCTATGTCTATAAAAGCTCCCACCCCATAACCACCACCTGCCTCACAAGCAAACCCCCTCTGCCAGCACTTGCCCCAGGGTAGCCACCCCCCCACACACCCTCCACCACACACACCTCAACCACCGCCTGCCTCACAAGAGAGCCACTCCGCCAGACCCCCGGGGTGGGCAGACCCCAACACACGCTCCCTCAACACCCCCCGCCCCGGTAACAAGAGGCGCCCGCCCCCTCCCCGGCGCGCAGAGCAGGCCCCTCCGACACCACCCGCTGCTGCAACTGCGCTGCGGCCGCCCCGAGAATCCACCTGCCCGCTCCCCACCAGCGCGACCTCCAGGGCAGAAGATGTTCACAGGCAGGAAGAGGCAGAGCGACCGTACCGGAAGCATATAGCGCGCCGGAAGTGGCCCTCCGAGAGGTGGGGTGGGCCGCTCTAGCCAGAAAGATGCTCGGTGGCGCGGGAGGGGTCACGTGGTCTTAGGTTGCTGGCGGCTGGCGCGCTCCAGTAGAGCCGCGGTCACGTGGCGTCTCGCGCGGGAGCCTGTCGCTCGCGCAGCCTGCTCTGCCGGGGTGGTGTCAGCCCTCCGTGGGCCTCCGCCCCCCGCGCTGGCGGGTATTTTGGCTTCCGTGGGAGATCCTTTACAAACCGTGACCGGGAGGTCTCGGCTGTGCTCTGCCCGCGCTCCGTGCTAGTGCCGCGGTCATCCTCGAGGGCACATCTCCCCGGGAAGGGGGGGTGCTTTTGCCTGTCTTGCCATAGATACAATACGCATCTTGCCGGGGAGAGGCTGGAGCATGCGGAGAGCAAAGGATAATGAACAAACCACAGTAGTCCAAATCCTACCCCTTTGGTATAAAGCCAGATAGTGCAGTGGGTCGCAACCTCCTAGGCTCAAGGCACCACGCATTAAACTCAAGGCTTCCCCTCGGAAAATGCCAGCTCTTAGTTTTCACTCATCTTTTGACTAATTAAAGTAATTCTGTTTCTCAGAAAGACCACTTTGAATTCTCATTTGGAAATGTCCAGGTTTATCTTGAGACTCGTTTGCACGCTGAGCAGCGCTAACACTGAATAGCACGCCACCGTAGTCTTCAAGGAGCCCAGGGTGCCCAGCCTTTGAGGTCAGCGACCCACTGAGATACTGCTTTGAAAAGCAATGAACGAACCAACCCGGCGTTGGGATAATTCCCTCTAGGAGCCTGGCACGAATATGCTAAATGAAAGCAGGCAGCTATTGTGGTGATGGTGCCCAGACAACTACCAAGACGGTATTTCTATATATATATCAGCTTTCCTGCAGCACTGCCCAGCCGTTTCTGCCCCACGACATGTTCCAGACCCTGTTCCCTGGCATACCCACAAGTCATATCATATCCTATGATTCTTTGAAATCTTGTGCTACTTAAAATCCGCACAGATTGTGTTTGTTCTTTGCATCTCCCATGTTTCCGTTTCGTTTTCCTTTCTTGTCAATCAAAACTTGAAGATTGTACAATTTTCTGTTAACAAGCTGTGCTACTCTATTGACCCAAATGTACCACAAGGGGGAGTATGCACCTGTATTTCCCTCTGAAACTAAAGTGAACTGCTCTGAATAGTGGAACAGATGTGGGCTTTTTACAACTTCAAATGAAAGAGTATAGTTCTTGGGATAGATTTTCTTGTGGAGTTTTCTTTCAGATAGAAGTATTTTTTTTTACTGTGGACATCACTACATGGAATCTAGAATTAGAAAGGAATAAGAGGAAGAAAAAAACATTTCATAGTTGGTAGGGTCGAAAGGAACCTGAGCAGATCATCAAGTCCGACCCCCTGCCCTGGGCAGGAAAGAGCACTGGGGTCAAACGACCCCAGCAAGGTGTTCATCTAGCTTCTTCTTAAAGACCCCCAGGGTAGGAGCCAGCACCACTTCTCTTGGAAGTTGGTTCCAGATCCTAGCCGCCCTGACAATGAAGTAGCGCCTCTTGCTATCTAGCCTAAATCTACCCTCCCCCAGCTTGTGACCGTTATTTCTAGTCACTCCTGGGAGTGCTCGGGGGAACAGGGACTCCCCCAATGCCTGCTGGTCCCCTCTGACTAGTTTGTAAACAGCCACTAGGTCCCCCCTCAGCCTTCTCTTGTGGAGGCTGAACAGGTTCAGGTCCCTTAGCCTCTCCTCATAGGGCCTGCCCTGCTGCCCCCTGATCATGCGAGTGGCCCTCCTCT